CTCACCTCACAGGTATTTAGGGGAAATGGGGCAAATACAAAGGCACTGACTGCTTTTTATGCAGCAGCTGAGGGGACATCAGGGGACAGCACCTTAAGCTTCTCCCACCCCAGGCCATCATCTTACTCAGCTCCCAAGCTGGAATGTGCTTCTTGAGATCTAGAATGTGAGAGTCTAAACTTAAATGTGTGTAAAACAAAACTAGGTGTGGTGGCACAGGTCTGTAATCCCAGTATTCTTCAGAGGTGAAGGCTACAGATCAGAAGTTCAAAGCCATCCTCAGCTACAGTACAAGTTTCAGGCCAACCTGGGATACATGAGGCTCTATCTCAAACAAAAAGAAAACGGAAAAGCAGGGCTGAGGAATTGGTTCCACTGGTGCGTAAAGTGCTTGTACGTAAACATGAGGACCTGAGTTCGGATTTCCAGCACTCATGTATTGGCCAGGCACGACATCTCATGTCTGTAATTCCAGCCCTGCGGGTTGGGGGGAGGCAGAGACAGGCAGGCAGATCTTGGGGGCTTGCTGGCCAGCCAGTCTAGCCAACTGGAAAACTCCAGCTTCAGTGAGAGACCAAAAATTAAGGTGAGCTGAGTGTGGAGGCACATGCTTTTAATCCCAACACTCGGGAGGCAGAGGCAGGTGGATACCTGTGAGTTCAAAGCCAGCCTGCTCTACATAGTCAGTTCCAGGCCAACCAAGGCGACATAGTGAGATCCTGTCTAATGATGATGATGATGATGTGGAGGGCTAGAAATGGCTTAGTAGTTAAGAACACTTGCTGCTCTTGCAGAGGACCCAAGTTCAATTCCCAGCATCCATATCTGGAGGCTTACAACTGGCTATAACTCCAGCTCCAGGGGATCCAATTCCTCTGATCTCCACTGGCACCTGCATTTACATGTACATACCCCACACACAGGTATACACACACAATTTTTAAAAATTAAAAAATCTAAAACATAAGGACAGTGATGGAGAAGAAACCCAATGTTAACCTCTGGCCTCCACAAACACAGGGATAGGGGAGCACACCCCATATACATGTGTACATGAATAACACATACATACCACTGAGGAAAGGATACCAGTTCTGTCCTGTCCCCATAACTCTGAGCAGGCCTGCGGGGACTCTCTGTAAACCGTACAGATATGCAGATCTTCAGAGTATCATTTGCACCTGCTGTATTACTTGAGACACTGGACTGTGCAGGACCATAGACTCCCTTTAGGAAGCACCTCTGTTCTAGATCAGCTGCACATTCTACACAGCCAGTTAAAGAGGCAGGTTGATTCAGTGGTTAAGGGCAGGGGGACTGACCTGTATGTGATGATGCATGCCTACCTGTAATCCTAGTATTTGGGAAGAGGATTGGGAGTTCCAGGCCAGCTTGGGCTAGTAGCAAGACCTATCTCAAGGGGGGAAAAGAGGGTGAGGCAGAGTCTCCCAGGACAAATAAGTTGGGTTTAGATTCCATCTCTGACATTCATTTCTTGTTTCCTCTTTAAGGTGATCACCTTACCTCCTGTGCCCAAGTTTACTCACCTATAAAATGGAGGTAATGTTAGTGATTGTTTCACACAGCTACTGGGATATTAAGTGGAATGCTACATCTAAACCACCTAGATAAACACCTGAAAGTGCTATGTAACTTTCTGATAGCATCCCAAGTCCTTGAGGAAGAAAAATATACAGGAAAAAGCCTTGGGCTCACGGAGGTCATGGGCTCAAGAATGGGACCCTGCTAGAATGATCAGAAACCCTCTCTGTGTCCAGTATCTACAAGTGGAAGCTCTGATTTGTTTATGCCTTGATGTCCCCAACATCAGCAGGGTATGGTCACAAGAAATAGTGTCAAAATGCAAAAAATGTGTTTATGACAAATGGCAGAAGAGAATCTACAGGGAATCCATAGAGGAGCCATTTCTCCAGCCAGGACTGGTCCTACAGGACACAGAGGTGGTATACAGAGGGCCAGGGCTTGTTAAAGAAACAGTCTCAGGGTCCAGGATGGAGAGTGGGGGTCCAGTAGGGTGGGGACTGTCCCATTATCCCCAGCTAGACCCTCTCAGCTTCATCTAATTGGGAGTTTATGGGGTCTTGGGAACTAGCTCAGCAACTTGACTTTCCAGGAATTCAACCTGTTTATTTCCACCTCCTTATGCCTAGAAGGTTAGTGAAAGGTGGAAGGAACTGTTTTCCAGCATATCCCAGTGCCTAACAACACCACTTGAGGTCAGTCTCCTGCTGGGGAATAAGTACCCCCAAAGACTTCCCATCAACTTCTCTCTGCTGGTTAAATTGTTTCTCCAGAACCTGACTCAGAGCCTTTGCCCCTCCCCATCTCGGTTGCACTGAGACCCACACAGATCAGTAAACTCGCAGCATCCTTAACATCTTAAACAATACCAAGCACGCAGTCTGTGCTCTACCAGTGCAAATGCATAGGCTTCCTCCGCAGCAGCCACCCACTTCAGCTGATCCTCTAGTCTAATGCTTGAACGGGGAGCCGACATCACCTGAGATCTGATACACCACTCCTGGACAGACACTGAGGGTCCTTAGGTCAAGTTCCATTCCTTGCTTCAAGCACCACAAGCCTCTGTGTCTGACCTCCAACCTCCATGACTGCTGTGTGCTGCGAAGCCCCTGGACTCCCACATCAGCTGGAGGGAGGCTGTAAGCATATTTAGGGGGTTCAGGACCTTTGGGCGCTTCTCTACCCTTCAAGCTCTGAATAAAATAACACACTCAAAGGAAAAGTGAGCTAAGCTTTGGGGGCCAAAGAGGAGGTGAGGGTAGCTGGTGAACCCCTGAACCCACCCACCTCCGATCTCCAACTCTAGGTCTCCAGCCTGAGCTTTGAGTAACACCCGAGACGCTGACCTCACATCTATTTGGGCTTCACCAGCCCCCAAGCCTACCTGTTGGTAGATGAGTCCCCCTGGAACTCCCATGGTGGCCGAAGACGCTCTCTCCCGCCTCTGGACATCTGTCTTTGGGCAGTGGGGGTGGTCACAACCACCAGCCTCGGACAGGGGCGTGTACTTCCCTCGTCAGGCACCCAAACAGAGCCAGTGTCCACCCCCGCAGGCAAGGCGTGTTTACAAAGTCTGCGCAGAGCTAGCTGAAAGCTGGGCAGGAAGTGGGGAACAAGGGGGAGGGTGAGACAAAGGGGCTGGGTGCTCTGTTCAGCCAAGGTCTGATCCCTGACACCGGGACACCTCATCTGGAGCGGATTCCCACCCCAGGTCTGCAGACCCAGGTCCTTAACCCCATTTGAGGGCGTGCAGTCCAGTACGGCTCTGGTGTGCACACTCCAGACAGATGAAGTCTGGGCAGCAGTGACTCGTGCACAATACTCAGGAAGTAAACAACAGCAGGCATGAGCTCTTAACTCTTACTACTTACTGCCAGACACACACACACACACACACACACACACACACACACACAGCGCTATCACGAGGGAATTCCGAGGCACAGTGAGGTCGGATAATGTGGCCAGAGTCTGACAGCTAGCAGCAAGTGGCAGTTAGGGTTTAAATCCAGCCACTGCATCTAGCCAGGCACCCCCAAACCAGGACAATAAAAAGTGGTGAGGTTTCCCCCTGAAGAATCCCCAGTCCAGAGAGGCTGACAGGCCAAGTGGGGCATTGACAGCTGTGGAGCCCGCAGCATAAAAATCACCAGGTTGGATGTTCCAGTTACCCCAAATTACCTGCTTGTGAGTCACCTAAAGAGCTTCCTAGCCATACCAAAGCCAGGGCTGGGGCTGTAGCTCAGTTGGCAGATTGCTTCCTACCAGGCACTAAGTCCTGGGTTCAACTGCTAGCACTGCATAAACAGAGCAAAATAATGAAGACCGTAATCCCAACACTTGGAGGAGGTGTAGGTAGGATGCTCAAGAGTGCAAGGTTATCCTTGGCTACAGGGTAAGTTTGGGGACAGACTGGGATACATGAGATTCTGTCTCACACAAAACAAAACAAGGGACTGGAGAGATAGCTCAGTGGTTAAGAGCACTGACTGCTCTTGCAGAGGATCCAGGTTCGATTCCCAGCACCCACATGGTAGTTAATAACCGTTAGTAACTCCAGTTCCAGGGGATCTGACACTATCTTCTGACCTCCACAGGTATTGCACACACGGTGCACTGACAATACACTCATACACATAAAATAAAATATCAAAACAAAACAACCCCAAACAACCAAAACCAAGGCCCCTCTCCAGGCAGAACATTGGAACTGGGATCACTGGAACTGTGCTGACCCACCTGGGTAAGACTAATAATCAGGTACATTTGGAAAACCCTCGAGACCATAGAATTATAGATAACCTCCAGGGTCCTTTCAAAAGTGTACTTTTTTTTCTTAATTTAAAAAATTAATTTTGATTATGTGTGAGTGTTATGCCTGCATGTGTGTTAAGTGCACCCATGTCGTGCAATGCCCCCCAGAGGACAGAAGAAGTTCTCAGGATCCTCTGGAACTGGATTTATGTACATTTATTAGCCACCATGTGGATGCTGGGATTCGAACGCCAGTCTTCTGCAAGACCAATCAGTGAGCCATCTCTCCAGTCCCCAAAAGTGTACTCTTGAGAAATATTCCGTATCAATAGATCTTTCTCTTCCCCACCCCTTCCCTTTTTCCCGACAGGGAAGGTCTGGCCTTGCACTCTTCCGTAGCCCAAGCTAGCCTCTGGACTCCTGATACTCCGGAGTGCTGGGACTATAGGCTGCTGGCACCTGGCCCAAATAGGTTTCCTTAAACTCAGTGAAACCGAAGAGCATTTTCTTTCTCGCTTCCCAAATCCAATGAAAGCCCCCACGAACGCTTGGCGCCCTAAAAAATCAACGCAAGCTGAGGTCTACCGCCCTTCCCAGTTTCCCACTTTGCAGGACTTCGGAAGCCCGGTGGGGCACGCGCGGCCCCGCCCTTCACCAGCTCCCCGCCCCACGACTACAAGTTCCATCGTGCTCCGCGAGCACGCACGATACGCCGAAGCAAGATGGCTGATGCTGCGGCCGGGGCCAGTGGTTCCGGAACGGTAAGGGAAGGGGAGGCGCGGCGTTGAAGCCGCGAGAGTTTGGGTATTCTGAAACTTTCCCATGACCTGGTCCACAAGAAGTCCAGGCTCACTCTGAGCTCTGGGTGGCCATTCGCGCCCCCGGCTCTTTGGGTCTTGGCGGCGGCGGCCTCCAAGTTGGTGGACCTGGGACTTGATTGGCTTGTTTCCTGTTGAGGGGTGGGAATCCGGAGCACCTTCTGATTGGTGTGAAGAGGCTGTTCTCATCATCGCATTGGCCAAGCCAAAGTTGGGAGGGATTCCCTTTTCAAAATATTTACCTTCCCTGCATTTCTGCACAGTTACCCTTTGCTCTCCTCTCTTCCTCATCCCGTGCTTTAATGTTCCTTGTTAATGAAGTGATGTGGTCGCTGAATTCGTTGAATTCCATCCTGCATGTATATATTCTGATAATTTGCTAAGGAAGGGAAGGGGGTTGAAGAGGTGTTCAGTGCTTGCTCTTTTTTTAAGAGGACCTGAATTCGGTTCCCAGCATCCACATGACTGCTTGCAACCCCCCTGTAAATCAACTCCACGGGATCTAAGGCCGTCTTCAGGCCTGGGAGGCACATGCACATAACCACACAGACACACACACGTATATACAAAACACTTTTTAAAACTATTTATTTAATTTATTTATCTACTTTGGTATTTTTGAGACAGAGTCTCCCTGTAGCCCCAGCTGGCCTGGAACTCATCATGTAGACCAGGCTGGTCTTGAACTCACAGAGATCTGCCTGCCTCCACCTCCCGAATGGAGGGATTAAAGGCATACACCGCCACGCCTGGCTAAAACTTTTTTATTTTGTGTGTGTGAGTGCACCCGTGTGTGCAATGCCCATGGAGGCCAGAAGAGGGCATCAGATACACTGGAACTGGAATTAGGAATGGTTGCTGCCCTGTGGGGTACTGAGAGTTTCACCTGGATCCTCTGCAAGAGCAGCTCCTGAGCCGTCTTTCCAGATCCATAAAAACTAATCTTAAAACAATTAAAAAAAATATTTTATTATTTTTATTTTATGTGTATGAGTGTATTGCCTGCGTGTATATATGAGTGCACCCATGTCGTGCAATGCAGCAGAGGTCAGAAGGCTTTGGATTCCTCTGGAACTGGAGTTAAGAATGGTTCATAGCAGCCATGTGGGTGCTGGGAATTGAACCCAGGTCCTCTGCAAGAGCAGTCAGTGCTCTTAACCGCTGAGCCATCTCTCTAGCCCCTTAAAAGTTTTTTAAAAACACAAAGCAAAGCACTTTTGTTTGCCATTGATGCTGTGTGAACTCTGATTTCATCTGGGTCCTGTGGTTAAAAGCTTCCTTTCTCTCTGGGTTACTGATTCACAGAGATCAGGAAGTAAACAGTCTACCAACCCTGCTGATAACTACCATCTGGCCCGGAGGAGAACGCTGCAAGTGGTAGTGAGCTCCTTGCTGACAGAGGCAGGATTTGAGAGTGCCGAGAAAGCATCTGTGGAAACCTTGACGGAGATGCTGCAGAGCTGTGAGTACCAAGTCAATTCGAGCATCAGCCTGTGGCCTGTGCTGTGCTGGTGTTAGAGAAGACTAAGGAACATAGATGAGTTATAGATGTGGGTGTGAGTCACCACTGCCACGTAATAGCAGGGACCAGTCCCTAAACCTCCTGAACCTCAATTTCATTTGTGAAATAGAATAATAATTTGTCTAGGAGTTGTGAGATGTATATGAAAAATTCCTAGTGTTGAAGAGGTTGTGCAGAAATCCTTATTGCTGTTTTATGAGAGATGGCTCAGTGGTTAAGAGCACTGGCTGCTCTTGCAGAGGACCTGGGTTCAGTTTCTAGCACCCACACAGTGGCTAGCAACCATCCATAAGTCTAGTTCTAGGGGATCCAATGCCCTTTTCTGACCTCCATGGGCATTGCACAACATGAGTGCACCTACGTATGTGCAGACAGTACACTCATAAAAAATAAACATAATTAAATATTTTTTAAAAAGAACTTAACTTTTGTTTGGCAGTCTGGACTAATTCTGAAATAGATGTCACCAGGTGACACAATCAAGTACTGTATTATGTGATAAAAAATGAGGGTGACTAGGTTTTTAAAGTGCTTTCAAGGGTGTGGTGGTACTCACTTGTGATCCCATCACTGCAGTGGTGGAGGCAGGAAGGTGAGAAGTTCAGGGTCATCCTGGGATACATGAGACCCTGTCTGAAAAAAGAAGAAAAAAAAGAGGAAGAAATGTCTTGAGGTTTGACTGAAAAATTTTTTTTTTTGTCTTTTTTTGAGACAGGGTCTCCCTGTAGCTCCTGCTGTCCTGGAACTCACTATGTAGACCAGGCTGGCCTCCGAGTGACTGAAACTTTTCTAAAAAAGAAATGGGACCTGGGCGTGGTGACGCACACCTTTAATCCCAGCACTCGGGAGGCAGAGGCAGGTGGATTTCTGTGAGTTCAAGGCCAGCCTGGTACATAGTGAGTTCCAGGACAGCAGGAGCTACAGGGAGACCCTGTCTCAAAAAGACCACCCCCCCCCAAAAAAAAAGAAAAGAAATGAGAGAGGATATTTATTAGGGATCAATACATATGAAAGGAACTAGGGGGAAAGTTTGGGCAGAGAGGGACTTGAACTTCAACGCAAACCCAATAAAACTGGCCAGTTTACCATGGGGCAGTTATTGCCTACCAAGCTGAAAAAAAGCCCTTTCTTTATGCTTAGGTATTCTGTTGTTGATCTAGGACTTGAACTTGGCCGTGGGTGTGCTAGGCGAGCACTTTAGATCCTAGCTACACCCCAGGCCTGTATTCAGGTCTTGGTGTGATATGCTACATGGACTGCCTTAGTCCTGGTAGGTAGAGTGGCTCTCAGCAGCTATTTAGAGGTATTTGGAGCTATTTATTTTCCTAAAGTAGTAATCTCAAACTTTCTGCTCCGAGCATTTTTCCTTTTTAGACATAGTCTCCTATAGCTCAGTCTGGCCTTAAACTCTCTCTGTAGCTGGGAATGACCTTGCACCTCTGATCCTCCCACCTCCACCTCCTGAGCTGTGGAATTACAGGTATGCATCACCACACTGGTTATGTGGTGCCAGAGATTGAACCCAGGGCTTTGTGCATCCTAGGCAAGTACTCTACCAACTGAGCTGTATCTCTGCCTTCGGAACATTGTTTTTTTTTTTTTAAGGTGTATTTTATTTTTATTAATGAGTATGTATGTATGTGTATATGTGCAAGTGCCTGAGGAGGTCAGAAGATGATGGTACCAGATCTCTTGGAGCTAGAGGTGCAGGTAGTTGGGAGCTGTCCATCATGGGTGCTGGGAACTAAACTCAGGTCCTCTGAAAGAGCTGCTAGTGCTTTTAACTGCTGAGCCATTTCTCCAGCCCTTTGAACTTTGTTAGACTCTTAAATTCTGAAGAGTCTAAGGAATGTTTGTATTTCTTGAGGAATTGGGATATCTCTTAATAGTAGAGCTAAGGCTCAGCATGTACAAGGCTTTGGGTTCAATTTCCAGCACAAGAAACCAACCAAACAAAAACCCAAACCAAAATCAATAAGGATGCTATCCAGAGACTGGTGTTACTAATCTGCTGAGGTAGTTGAGAAGATGGCAGAAGGCTTCAGACTCTCCTCCCTAGCAAATGCTGCTTGTTTTTATTTCTCATCCATTGATCCCTGGAACAGAGGTTTTTACCTTTATGGACCCTTTCGTATATCTGTGGACACATCCCCTTAAAAAGACTTTGTTTGAATATTCCCAGTACCTGGATGGAGAGATGGCGCAGTAAAAAGTAAAAACTGGCTGCTCTTGCAGGGGACCCAGGTTCAGTTCCCAGCACCCACATGGTGGTTAACAACCATCTGTAACTCAGTTCCAGGAGATTCAACACTCTTCTGATCTCCATGGACATTGCATGACACAGGTGTACTTACATACATGCAGGTAAAACATTCATACACATAAAAATAAATATTTTTTTAAAAAGGAATTTACTACTTTGTTATTAAAAATAAATAAATAGGCTGGGCATGGTGACCTAGGCCTTTAATTCCAGCACTCAGGAGGCAGAGGCAGATGGATCTCTGTCAGATCCAGACCAGCTTGGTCTACATAGTGAGTTCAGGCAACTGGAGCTGTAGGGAGACTCTGTCTCAAAAAGAACTTAATAATAAAGTAAATAAGTATTCCAGGAACCCCCTCATTCACCTCCCCAGCTTACAGAGCCCAGCTTCATAAACTCCATCTTTGATATCGCCCCTTTTTTCTTTTTAAATTTTTTTTCCTTACATTATTTACTTATTGTGTATATGGGGAGGGGATGCATGGCACAGTGCACGTATGTGGAGATCAGAGGGTGGCTTTAAGGAGCTGGTTCTTTCCTTCTAGCATGTGAGTTCCAAGGATCGAACTCATGTCTTCAGACTTGGCTGCAAGTGCCTTTACCACTGAGTCATCTCGCCAGCCTTTTTCTTGAAAGGCTCTTTGAGGCTTAACTTCAGGAAGAAGAAATAAAAATTTCCCATTGTAGAATAAGACTTTTTTTGGTGCGTGTATGCGTGGGAGAGAGATGCTTAGCCACACTGTCATTTTAACCATTTTCAGTGGCATCAAGTACATCCATGGTGTTGTGCACCTGGCAGCATCCTCCATATCCAGAAGTCTGGACCATGGACAGTAACCCTGTTTCATCCCCCCCGAGCCACAAGAACCTCTAACCTACTTTCTGACTCTATCAATTTTCTTTTTCTTTTTTTTAAATATTGTATTAATTTTTATTTTATGTGTATGAGTATCTTGCCTGCATGTGTGTAAGTGCACCACGTGTGTGCAATGCCTGCAGGAGCCAGAAGAGTGTGTTGGATCCCCTGGAACTGAAGTTTTGGACAGTTGTCATGTGGATGCTGGGAATCAAACCCAAGTCTTCTGTAAGAATAGCAAGTGTTCTTTTTTTTTAAAATTTTATGTGTATGTATGTATTGCCTGCATGTAGGTAAGTGCACCCATGTCATGCAGTGCCCTTGGAGGTCAGAAGAGGCTGTTGGATCCCCTGGAACTGGAGTTATGGACAGTTGTTAGCTGCCATGTGGGTGATAGAATTCGAACCCAGGTCTTCTGCAAGAACAACCAGTGTTCTTAACTGCTGAGCCATCTCTCCAGCCCCTTGAATAACAAGTGTTCTTAACTGCTGAACCGTCTCTCCAGCCCAAATTTGCTTTTTCTTTTTTCCTTTTTTATTTTAATTAATTAATTAGTTAATTAATTTATTTTTTTTTATTTTATTTATTTATTTATTTTTTTGAGACAGGTTCTCCCTGCAGCCGTAGCTGGCCTGGAACTCACTATGTAGACCAGGCTGGCCTGGAACTCACAGAGATCTGCCTGTCTCTGCCTCCTGAGTGCTGGGACTAAAGGTATGTGCCACTATGCCCAGCTTTTTCCTTTTTTATATATCTTTCTTAAAATTGGTGGTGCACACCTTTAATCCCAGCACTCGGGAGGCAGAGGCAGGTGGAGCTCTGTGAGTTCAAGGCCAGCCTGGTCTACAAAGCTAGTTCCAGGCCAGCTGGGGCTACAGACAGACCCTGTCTCAAAAAAAGACCAAAAAGTAAAAAAACCCATTTATTTATTTGTGTGTGTGTGTTGGGGGGGTGAATTGCTTTTCCCCCTCTGAATTTACTTTCTCTATGTACCTCAGATGTGGGAATTCCTTTTCTTAACCTTGTAACCAAAAACTTATTCTTACATTTTGAAGTCGTTTAACCCTATCTCAGGCTCCGTTTATAACCTAAACATATAACCTTAAATTATCCTCATGACCCTTTTGCCCTTGACCTGAAATAATATATGTGTATACATGTTGTGAGACTATGTAGCACTGCAAACAGGATTATCCAGTTTGTGTTGCAAACCACAGCTCCTGGTTGTGTGTGCGGTTCTAGGTAAGGATCAGAAGGGACATGTTCTCTGGTAGGACAAGCTCCTCTTTTCCCACGTGATGCTGGATGTTTCACCTTCAGCAGAGAGCAAGGCTTTTGTTCCGGAGCTCAGTTCCAGGAGAACGCTGAAGGAACAGGTTCTTAGAACATTTGGGCCCCCTATTGATTTAAGGCTGCTAAGAGTCAGGCTGTCTTGTTCAGGCACCACCCATAAGGTGATACACTGCTGCACGCAGATAAGTGGAGTCTGAAAATATTTGTCTTTTTTGTGCGTGACTTAACTTCACTTACCATAATGTTTCAAAGTTTATCCATGTTGTGGATTTCATTCATTTGAAGACTTTCATTCCTTTCGAAGGCTGAATAAACAGTCCACTGTATAACCAGGTGTGGTAGTAGTGCACATTTGTAATCCCAGTGCTTGGCAGGGGGTGGGGGATGAGGTGTTCAAGGCCAGTCTCTACTGCATATCAACTTATGAGAGCATGTCCAAAATAAATATAAACAAAGAGACAAAAAATATTCCATTGTGGGCTGGAGAGATGGCTCAGTGGTTAAGAACACTTGTTACTTTTCCCAAAGACCCAAGTTCGGTTCTCAGCAACCACCTTGGGTAGCTCATAGCCGCCTGTAACTCCAGCTGCTGGGGATGCAGCATACTTTTGGCCTCCTTCAGCACCTGCACTCACATGCACATATCCACACAGTTACACACATATATACACATAATTAAAAATAAAAATGGGGGCCGGAGAGATGGCTCAGTGGCTAAGAGCACTAGCTGCTCTTGCAGACAATCCAGGTTTGTGTCCCAGAATCCACAGGGTGGCTAACAACCATCTATAACTCCAGTTCCAGGGGGATCTGACGCCCTTTTCTGGCCTCCATGGGCCTTGTATGACATGAGTATACTTACATACATGGAGGCAAAACATTCATACACCTAAAATAAATACATTGTAAAAAATATTTTATTATTTTTATTTTATGTGTATGAGTGTATTGCCTGCATGTATGTGAGTGCACCTGTGTTGTGCAATGCTGCAGAGGTCAGAAGAGGGCTTCGGATTCCCTGGAACTGGAGTTAAAACGGACGGTTTGTAGCCGCCATGTGGGTGCTGGGAATTGAACCCAGATCCTCTTTAAGAGTAGTCAGTGCTCTTAACCGCTGAACCATCACTTCAGCCCCAATAAATACATTTTTTAAATTAAAAAAAAGTTAAATTCCGTTGTCTGTGGATACCACCATTTACCCACTCATCTGTCAGCGAACGGAATTTAATTCCACCTTTTGGCTGTTGTGAACAGTGCTGCTGTGAGTGCATATGTACAAGAACCTGTTTGAGCCCTGCCTTCGGTTCAGGTCCATAAGCCCATATCTAGCATGGGGCTGTTGGTCCTCATGGGAATCCTTTGGTGAATTGCTGAGGGACTGAAGAAGACCCTCTGCCTTTGATCCCCTCACAGACATCTCGGAAATCGGGAGGAGCGCCAAGTCTTACTGCGAGCACACAGCCAGGACCCAGCCCACGCTGTCAGATATCGTGGTCACACTGGTTGAGATGGGTGAGTACCTCCCAGTTTCTAGTTCTTTCATAACACTGACTTAGGATCATAAGAGAGGGTGGGGTCTCCAGGAATCAGAATATCTGCTGAGCATTCTCTAATTCCTCATGTTTTTCCTGCTTTTAATTTAGGGAATTTTCAGGGAGGGTTTCCCTGACCCCATCTCAGAGACCTCCAAAGTCCAGGCCAGGCAGTTCTGTTGGAGCTGCTGCTTTTTGTTGTTTTGGAACTGGGTCTTCCTACAGCCCCCATTGGCTTGGGACTTACTGTGTAGACCAGCTGGCTTTGATCTCACAGAGATCCACCTGCCTCTGCCTCCCGAGTGCTGGGACTAAAGATGTGCACCACCATGCCTAGCTTTTTTTTTGAGCTTCTTTTGTGGGGCAACGTAGTGGTTGAGTTGGGAGTTCAAGTCTCTTTTCCACACTCTTAATTTCCCTTTCCTTGGTCAGTGTCCAGTGGCCTAGGCAGTGATGTGTTTTCTTGTCTCTTAGGTTTCAATGTGGACACTCTCCCTGCTTATGCAAAACGGTCTCAGAGAATGGTCATCACTGCACGTAAGTGACTTTGAACCCAGGTACTTAGTAAGTACTCGGTTTGGGATCATAGTGTGAATTAGTTGGTGACTAGGGCAGAATCATATTGGTAGCTGTTTCCTTCTTGCAGGCAGCCTCCCTCCTGATCTTTGGGGGGTTAAGTACCTAGAGTGTAATCTTTATCTGAGCTGTGGGATTCGAATGTGAAGTCTAGGCCCCAGGAAGCCAGCCTGTTTCTGAGAGCTTGCCATTGGTCTTCTGCTCTCACCCTGCAGAGCAAATGACATGGCTTTTGAGGGCTATGAAAACTCCTGCTTTCTTGGATCAGTGTTAGGAAACTGTGGCATATGGGCCAGCTGTGGCCCACTTCTTGCTTTTGTAAATATGATTTTGTTGGAAGGCAGCTATCTTTATTATCTGTGATTGCTTTCATGTTATAAAGACAGAGTTCAACTAACAGACTTTTGTGCTCCGCAAAATCTGAAATTTTGCTGTGTGATGTGGCCTACACCTATAATCCTAGAGGCAGAGGAAGAAGGATCTAGAATCTAGTGCAGCCTGGACTGCATAATGAGTTCTAGGCTAGCTTGGGCTACAGAGAGACTGGCTCTCAAAATACAAACAAGCAAGCCAAAGAAATCTAAAATATTTGCTTTGTAGCTTTTTATGTAAACAGATTAATACTGCCTTAAATAAAACTGGGTCATTTAAGCTAAACAGGGAGTAACTAGTTAATCTTTAGAACCTTTAATCCCAGCACTTGGGAGGCAGAGGCAGGTGGATCTCTGTGAGTTCCAGGCCAGCCTGGTCTACATAGCAAGTTCCAGGCCAGTTGGGGCTATAGAGAGACCCTGTCTCAAAAAGACCAAAAAAAAAAAAAAAAAAATTGTTTTTAGTTATATCTGTTTATTTAGTGTGTGCGTGTGTGTATACGCAAGAGTGCACACATGTGCCATGATGTACAGTGGAGGTCAAAGGAGAGCCTTGTGGAGGTGGTGCTCTCCTACTCTGTGGGTCCTGGAGATTGAACTAAGCTCAACAGGCTTGGTAGCACACACTTTTACCCACTGAGCCATCTCGCCAGCCCACTTTGGCATTATTTTAAGATTTCCTTACTCAAAAGCAGTGGAAAGTGCTACTTTTTTCTCTTTTGTAACTGTGGGGTGTGTGTGTGTGTGTGTGTGTGTGTGTGTGTGTGTGTGTGTGTGTTTGCTGGGGATTGAACCTAGGAGCTCCTGCATGCTAAGTATACCCCGAGCTATGCTCCCAGTGCCCTCCAGGGTGCCCAAAAAGAGAATCAGCAGCCCATTTAACCTCTTATGATCATGCCCACTCTCCCATTTACATAAGAGGCTGCAGGGAGATTGTTATAGATTGAAATGTCAAGCCAGGTTGTCCAGCAGGGCTTTATCAATAGAAATACAAAATGTTTGATTGTGGTCTAGTGAGAAATGAAGGTTTGAGCAGGGACCGACATCTGTAGAAAGTAAAGGTTGGAGAAATAACCAGTTGTGATTCCATTTCAGCTCCAGTGACCAATCAGCCAGTGACTCCCAAGGCCCTCACTGCAGGGCAGAACCGACCCCACCCACCGCACATCCCCAGCCATTTTCCTGAGTTTCCTGATCCCCACACCTACATCAAAACTCCGGTGAGTGGTGAAGCTAGCAGGGGGCTGTGAGTAAAACAGAGTTCGTTGCTGCTGACCTCCACACGAAAATCCAGAGGTTGTAGATAAAAGGTTGCTCAGGCCTATGTCTTTCTCCACTCAGAAGCAATTTTGTTATGGGGTGTGGTGGCTCACCCTCTAATCCCAGCACTTGGAAGGCTGAGACAAGGGGGTTACCATGAGTTTGAGGCCAGTCTGAGTTACAGAGTGAGATGCTCTCTCAAAGAGAGAAAAAGAAGCAATTTGGCAGGTGAGAGTTATGATCTCAAAGTTGCCACCAGAAATACAGTTAACAGAGAAAGTGCCTGTCCCACCCAATACAAAAGTACTTAGCCACATAGAAACAAAGCTGAGAGGCCAGAGAGGCAGCTCAGCAGGTAAGAGCACTAGCTGCTCTTCCTGAGGACCCAGGTTCAGTTCCCAGCACCCACATGGTAGCTAAGACCGATCCTGAAGTCCAGTTCCAGGGAATCTGGCCTCTGTGGGCATTGCACAACATATATGCAGGCAAAACACTCATAAACAAATAAATTTAAAAGACCCTAAAACACAAAAAATAAAAAACAACACTGAAGGACCCTCTGATGTGTTCATGCTTCTTGATGAACTGGCGTGTACCTCTTGGTGTGTAGACGTTCTCCCTTTGCCAAGTACCCCATGACACAAAAGTCATTTTGATGTCTGGGAGAAAGCTACCTGAAATATGTGTGAGAGTATCTTGAAATGGTTTGACGGGAAGCCCTGCTGTCCTCTGATGTGCCTGGCCAGCAATCTCTCCTTCCCTTGGCCGGAGGAGCCCCCACAGGTACAACGTTCCATACTCCTCCTTCCCTGCTCCACACCAAGGAGTAATGACTGTGACACAGACTGTGGGGTAAGTTCTTCGGGACACTTGCCCGTATTTCAGGATGCAGGGAAGGAATTAACATAGCCTTTACCCTGGACTGCAGTTTCCCAGAGTGCCCTGGGACTGCCATAACAGAGTGATATAAACTAGGTGACTTAGAACAATAGAAGTTTATTACGTCATAGTTCTAGGGGCCAGAAGTTCAAAATCAAGGTGTTGGCAGGGCCGTGCCCTTCTGAAACCTGTAAGGAATCTTTGCTTGGCCTAGCCTAGCTTCTGAGGTTGCGCCACATTCTCCAGCATTTCCTGGCTTGTAGGTCCATCACTCTGGTATGTTCACATGTCCTGACAATAAAATAGTCACACAAAATGCTCCTTTAAGAAAGAAGGGGGAAAAGCTCCTTTTTTGGTCTTTTTGAGACAGGGTCTCCCTGTAGCCCCAGAACTCACAGAGATCCGCCTGCCTCTGCCTCCCAAGTGCTGGGATTAAAGGCGTGTGCCGCCACACCCAGCCCCAGAATGCTCCTTTTATCATTGTTATTTGATAAGAGTCTCTTGAAGCTCAGGCTGGCCTCCAACCGTGTGCCATTAAGGACCACTTTGTACTCTGTTCCTCCCCGCTCCGCCTCCCAAGTGCTCACATTACAGGTAGACACCACCAAGCCCAGCCCAAAATGTTTATTTACATGAATATTGTGATTTGACCTAGTTCAAAATAATGTGCATTATAAAATAATCTTTCCTGGGCTGGAGAGATGACTCAGCAGTTTAAGAGCATTGGCTGTTCTTGCAGAGGACCCAGGATCTATTCCTAGGACCAACATGGTGGTTAACAACCGTCCATAATTCCAGTTCCAGGGGATCAGTTCCGACACCCTCTTCTGGCCTCTATGTGCACTGTTCAACACGGGTGCACCTACCCACATGCAAGCAATACACTCATACACATAAAATAAAAAATAAAATAATTAAAAGTTCAGGAAACCTACAACTTTTTTTTCTCTCCCTGTAGCCCCAGCTGGCCTGAAACACAGTATGTAGACCAGGCTGGCCTCAATCTCACAGACATCCACCCGCCTCTACTCCCAAATGCTGGGATTAAAGGCATGGGCTACCATGCTCAGTACCTGTAATCTTTTGAGTGGAAGCCTTGCAATTGCCTCTGCTTTTTCTTTCTGGAATCTCAGTTTAGAACTTAGTAAAGGGCCAAGTGTAGTGCCACAGGCCTTTAAGCCCAGCACTTGGAAGGCAGAGGCAGGTGGATCTCTGAGATTGAAGCCAGCCTGATCTACATAGGGAGTTCTAGGCCAGCTGGGGCTGCAGGAAAACCCTGTCTCAAAAAGAAAAAAAAAACCTTGGTGGAATAGTAACTTGCAAGTCTGACTCTAAGAGCAGTTTATTTAACTCTCTCCTAGCTGAAAAGACACATCAACGATGTGGAGCAGCCTCAGCTACCCTTAATAAATAAATAAATTGGGGGCTAGAAGTTGGTGAAGGCCTTAAGCCTTTAATCCCAGCACTCAGAGGCAGAGGAAGGCAGATCTCTGAGGTTTCAAGGCCACGGCTCCATAGTGAAACCCTGTCTCAAAACAAAAAGATCCCCCAAACCCAAAGAAACAAAAAGCAGGGGCTGGAGAGGTGACTCAACATTTAAGAGTGCATGCTGCTCTTCCAGAGGACCAGAGTTCACCTCCCAGCACACATGCTAGGCAGCTCACAGTCACCTGTAACTCCAGCTCCAACCTGTATGCACATGTGCACACTCACATACAGATACACCTGCACAAAAGTAAAAATGAAAACCTTTAAGAAAAAAATCAAAACGAGAGGCTAGGGTTGTAGCTCAGTGGTAGAGCGCTAAGCCTGGCGTGCGTAGGCTGTACCCCCAGCACATATGCACAAAATAAGTGACAATATATATATTTTTTTAATTTACAAATTATTCAAATAGTTTTGTTCAGAATTTTCTATGAAAATTCCGGTTTACTAAACCAGGCGTGGTGGTACATGCCATTAGTCCCGGCACTTGGGAGCAGAGGCAGGCGGATCTCTGCAAGATTGCAGCCCATCTGGTCTACATAATGAGTTCCAGGCCAGCTAGAGCTACATAGTGAAGCCCTATTTAAAGAAACCAGAAAAAAAAAAAGCAAATATGCAAACGTGTCAGACGAGGTATAGTGGCACGTGCCTGCACTCCCCACTCTCAGGAGGCTGAGGTAGAAGTAGTTAGGAGGGAGGGCATCTTTGAAAAATCTTTAGAAAGAAAACTGCTGTCGTATCATGTGGAGTTGGTTTTGGTCAGTGTTAATGTGCCATCTGGGCCACTACATTACGGTGTCTGCCTTCTCATTCATATTAGATCTTGTTTTTTTCCCATGTGATGGCCAACAAGGTGGTAAGTGGGAGGTGTGGCCGCCTTCCTTGGCTTACTTGATTGTACTTAGAATCATAGCCTCAGTCTGTATTTCTTTTCCTTTTTATACTTTTTTTTTTGGTCTTTTTTTGGAGCTGAGGACCAAACCCAGGGCCTTGGGCTTGCTAGGCAAGCGCTCTACCACTGAGCTAAATCCCCAACCCCTCTTTTCCTTTTTAATTCCACTTATTTATTTTGTGTGTGTGTGTATGTGTGTGCCTGCACACATACTATAGCATGTGTGTGAAAGTCAAGGACAACTTCTGGGAGTTGGTTCTCTCCTTCTACTATGTGAGTCTCAAGTATTGAACTCAGATCATCAGGCTTGGCAGCAAGTGCCCTGACCTTAACCATCCTGCTGGCCCCTCCGTCTGTGTTTCTCTTTTTTTTTCGGAGGCGGGGACAGGTTCTCACTGTGTAACCCTACTTGGCTTGGAACTTGCTGTGGAGATCGGACTGGCCTGGAACTCAACAGTGATCGGCCTGCCTCAGTCTCTAGAGTGCTGGGATTAAAAGCATGTGGCAACCACACCTGGCATTCGACTTCATGAGGGAATGTTTTAGACCGGTGTTGTCTATTTGGAGGGGATGGATTTAAAACAACATGGGCAGCCACTCGTACTGTAGGAGATCACATTATACTGATGAACCCGGAGGACCCTGTTAGGCCTCCTTGGGGGGACTCCCAGTCTTTCCTGAAGATATGTATCTTATACCTGGGACCCGCTGTCATGGGAGTTGAGTGAAGGCCCCATCAGCTCTATAGTAAATATTTCCATGTTTCTTAATGAGTATTTATGTACTGAGATGGTTTTCTTTCTTCTCTCTTGCTCCTCAGATAGCTCAGCTCTGAATAATGGTGGCAGATCACATTGTGTGTGTGTCTGTGTGTCTGTGTGTGTGTCTGTGTCTGTGTCTGTGTGTTGGGGATGTAGAAGCAGCAAGGCAGGACCTGAGCAGAGCAGAAGGCTGCTTCGCTCAGCCTCGTGTCTTGGCTGCTCTCATTCTAGACGTACCGGGAGCCTGTGTCTGACTACCAGGTCCTGAGGGAGAAGGCTGCTTCCCAGAGGCGTGACGTGGAACGGGCACTCACCCGCTTCATGGCCAAGACAGGCGAGACCCAGACCCTTTTCAAGGATGATGTCAGCACGTTCCCACGTGAGAGTTACCCACCTCTGGGGGCCCTGTTTTACCACTTGAGAGAATCCTATCATCTTCCCTTTCTCCTAGCACAGTAGGGAGAGCTGAGGATGTTGGCTTTTTCCTCTAGTGCAGTTTACTCTTCAGCTTTCTGGCTTTTTCAAAACCAAGTCTTAAGAGCCTGTTCCTAAGTAACGACTCCAAAACAGAAGTGGCTTCCATGGGATTGGCTGAGCTTAGGTTACCCCAAGGGTGACTGAGCCCTAGGCACTAGAGAGGCTCCCTACAGGAGAAGTGGCAGTCCAGGTCGAAGGAAGGACACTGGCATTTGGAGCCAGTTACCTGTCACGGTGTCCATTCATAGGTTACATCTCATTTAGATGCTGCATCTCATTGGCTGTTTTGACCAAGTTACTCATCCCCATAAGGGACCTTGGGTTACACAGAGGTGAGCAGGGAGATTGGTTCATCTAGTCAGCAAGCTCCCACTGGATGCCTGCCATGTTCCCTGGCCCCAGAGTCACTGTAGCTACCAATCACCAAGTGTAAGACGCTGCAAATCACTCTGTTTGTCACCTCATTCGGCCTCTCAGGAGTCTGAGTTAGCAGCAGTTAGCTTTGCCTTTGCAGAAAACAGAGGCTCCTAGAGAGAGAAGTGCGGTAGGTCATGGCCTCCTGGGTAGCATTCAACCCTTGCTCTTCTGGCTGCCTGGCAGTAGAATCATGTGACCATGCAGTCATTCTCTTCCAATTCCCCAGTGATCGCCGCCAGGCCTTTCACAATCCCCTACCTGACGGCCCTGCTTCCCTCTGAGCTGGAGATGCAGCAGATGGAAGAGACGGACTCCTCGGAGCAGGATGAACAGACAGACACAGAGAACCTTGCTCTTCACATCAGCACGGTGGGTCCTCCCCTTCCGCCTGCCTCAGAGTACCCCCAAAGCATCCTGTCCCACTGTGCCCCTGGAAATTGGACACGACCTACCCCAGGTCTCTGGATATCTGTTAGGGGCTTGCATGATGGGCCAGTGGAGATCTGAGTTTGACCTTATCTCCAGACTGAGAGACACATCCATGTCCTGGGGATTCACTCACTTCATTCAGTAAATATTGAATGAACACTGCCAGGCACTGTTCCAGGTGCTGGGGAACTAGTAGAAAGCAAAACAGACGAAATCCTCATGGAGCTAAGGAGATTAGAATTGGGCTGGGGCTGCGGGGATGTGGGATTAGAAGGTGACATTTGAGTAAAGACCCAAAGGGACCAAAGCCTGCATGTCTCAGAGTAGAGCTTTCCAGGAATCAGACAGTGAGATGCAAGGAGATCCTGAGGTAAAACAAGCTGGCGTGTATCAGGTGGCTCCCTGTGCCTCTCCCCGCTGCCTTTCAGCTGTGCAGCCATGCACTCTTCTGAATGGAGTACAATAGAGAAACTTCAAGGAAAAGGTTCTAGCATGGTTTAGATACAGTCATCTGGACTTAATATTCTGTTGGTCTGAGAGATATAGTTGTCTGCTAGAAAATGTAGAGTGTACAAGAAAGATGTGTGGTGAGAGTTCTGCCTCCCACCGGCTCCCTGCCGCCCTCTTGCTTCCACAAAACGCCTGTCTTGGCAGACTCCAATGTATTCTTCTAGAGACATTAGGTTTTTGTTGCTGTTTTAAACAAAATAGCAAGTCAGAAATGGTTCATTCCTTGCTCTCTTTCCCTTACTTCTGTACATATCTTGGTGACCGTTCTCTACCTTGCTGTAAAGAGCTGCTCCACCCCACAGCTTCAGCGTACTTCATCTATGCATGCAGTAGTTGAGGCACCTGCCCTTAGCATTGTCACAGCAAATTAAATAACATATTTTTGTTTTTGTTTTTTGAGACAGAGTCTCCCCGTAGCCCCACCTGGCCTGGAACTCACTATTTAGACCAAATTCACAAAGTCCACCTACCTCTGCCTCCCTTGTGCTGGTATTAAAGGCACGTACCATCATACTTGGCTTTAAAAATTTTTTTTTAATTTTTTTTAACTTAAAAAAAAATTGATGCAGGACGTGGTGGCACACACCTTTAATCCCAGCACTAGGGAGGCAGAGGCAGGCGGATCTCTGTGAGTTCGAGGCCAGCCTGGTCTACATAGCAAGTTCCAGGTCAGCTGGGGCTACAGGGAGACCCTGTCTCAAAAAAGACCAAAAAAAAAAAAATTGAGAATTGCATACATGCATATAAGGTGTTTTGATCAAATCCACGCCCATTCCCCCCCAGCTCCTCCCATATTTCCCTATCACTTTTTCCTGAACAACTTTGTGTGTACTTTTTTTTTTTCTACTCTAATATTTCCCCCTCTGAAGAGGTAGCCCTAAATCTTTTAGGGATTAGATAAGAGCTCCCAAATACTTTTGACATTTTTGGCCTTTGGAGCAGAGTTTGTTGCTAAAAGGCCCAAGAATTCATTTTAACTTTTGGCCAAGAAACTGGCTACTTTTCTTTGGGGTCTTTTTACCCTAACTGCCTAGCCAATTCCTACCTCCTATTCTTATCACACCATCCTCTGAAGAGGTTACCCAAATTGCCAATGGGGAATTGGGAGGCAGACCGCTCTGGCTTCTTCCATGCTGAACAGGGATGCAGGGTGAGGCAATTGGGGTACCCCTTCAGTGGGTCTATCTAAAAGACTCCCAAATTGCATAACTCTTAGCTGTAGGGAGAGAAGAAAATCCTTGACTGGTGCCAAGGAGATGTGAAGGAGAAGTAAAGGCAAGAGTAGTTAGCATTACAAGTCCTAGACAGAGAACCAGAAAAAGGTCAGAACAGGGCAGTTTTAAAATGTTCATATCAGAGTAGAATTTCTTGATGAGAGCTTCCAAAAGCATCCCTCTCTTGGGTTCCTCCTCATTTTTCTTTTGTCTGCTAAGACTGGACTCGAGAGTGACGGACTCAGGATTTGTTTTCAGGCACTTTGATATTGTTGGAGTGGCTAGAATCAGTGTCAGTTCCCTCTTAATGTTTATTTTATGTGTATGAGTGTTTTGCCTGCATGCAGCACCCACAGAGGCCAGAGGAGGGGTTTGGATCTCCTGGAACTGGAGTTATAGATGGTTTCGAGCTGTCCTGTGGGTACTGGGAACTGAACCTGAGTCCTCTGCAAGAGCAGCCGGTGTTCTTAACCATTGAGCCATCTCTCCAATCTTTTGTTTTATTTTTTGAGATGGCGTTTCATATAGCCCAGGCTAGCCTCCAGCTCCTATGTGGCCAAGGCTTGTCTTGAATTCCCAGTCCTGCCTCCACCTTATAAGTACTGGGATTATGGGAGTGTACTCCCATCTAACTAAATAACTAATTTAAAAACTTTCTTTTATCTATGATGACATTATGTTTCAGGGACCATTGCTGTGGGACACTTTATTTAACCTAATTCTAGTTTCTCCATGTCCATGTCTTTGGACATAAAGGAACTGTTAGTTTTTAAATTACTGTATAATATAATTTTCTCTCATACATTTGAGTTAGCTGGTTTGTGCAGGCAATTGAGACATCTGAAGTTTGACTCCTTTATAAAAAATTGTACCCATCATCTGCTCAGCAAGCATTTATTTTACAGTGAATATGTGCCAGATACTGTTCTGGCTGCTTGAGATAGAGCAATGAGCCAACAGACAAAGTCTCTACCATTTGAAAGCCTATGTTTGCCAATGGGAGAATGAAAATAAACATAATGTGTAAACAGATCATCACTCAGGGTATTCAAGATGAAAGTGCTGTGGGCAGAGCAGCAGCGGTGAGGATAGAGGCTTTGATTTTCAATAAGGCATGGGTGGATCACCGAGAAGGGTGGATCACTGAGAAGGGTGGATCTCTGAGAAGGGTGGATCACTGAGAAGGACGCATCAGAGCAGAGACTTGAAGGAGGTGAGGGTGAGCCTTGCTGCTGTCTGGCGAAGAAGGGCCTTGCAGAGGGAATGGCCAGTGCGGAGGGCCTGAGGGACTGCCAGGGGCTGGGGCAGAGAGACAGGAAGAGCAAAGGGAGAGTCAATCCAAGAGTGAAGGGAAGACCTTGTCAGCTGTTCCAAGAGCTGGGTGAGGGGAGTTGCAGGAGGGTATAGAGCCAAGGAGGGATATGTCTGAGTTTCCGAAAGCTTCGCTGGTGACTGTGGTGGGAGTGGCCCCAAAGGAGCTGCCTTAGGTCTGCGGCAGTGTAGGCCAGAGATGGGCGTGGCTCCTCCCCAGTGGAGGAGGTCACAGTGGAGGTGGTGGAAGTGGTCTGACTGACAGATAGGAGTGGATGACAGAAAAGGAACTAGTGCGACTGATGGTTGATGGTTCAGACCGCCTGAAGGATGGCTTCGCTGTCACTGTGATGGGAGGGCTTGGGGGCGGGCTGTTGAGCCCTGAGGAAGGCTGAGGCGCATCAGTGTGAGGTGCCTACCGTGCTTCCAGGGAGTTGTCAAGCAAGCAGTTGGGTGTACAAACGGGGAACTGGGGTTCAGAGAGAAGAGAGGGCTGGGTGTGGACTTGAAGCCATTGGTGTGGAAATAGGAAGAGCAGTTGTGTGACTGGGTGGGGCAGAGATTCAGCTGTACCCAAGTCTGGCCTTTGCTCTGACCCAAGGGGCTCCGGCAGAGCCCTCTGTCCTCCTTTCCTATACATCTGAGTCACTTGGGTGCTTTGCTTCCATCTAACTCCCTCGCCCCTCCCACCTCAAAGCTGCCCTTGCCTGAAGGGAACCAGAAAGAAGCTCCCACAAGTTCTCCCTGGGAGAGAGATGCCTGTTACCCAAAACCACATGGAAGGCGTCTCAGTACCCTTCAGTGTGGTCCCAGGGCTGACTTTTGAGCCCCTCTTGTGTCACCTTCACCTCTGTCATCTCAGAACTTACTAAGGCAGAGTCAAAGGGGCTTTCCAGACTCTTGACTGTAGAGAGATGGTAGGCTGAGGGGGAGTAGGTGCTCCTCGGTTAAGCCCCAGAGAACTTCAGCTCGAACAGCTCCAGGGCCACTCAGTGGATTTCATGTGGGAGAAAGCAAGCACATGTGCCCAAGAGCAAGCGGCTTTTGGAGAACAGAATTAATAGACTATCTGGACAAGGTGGCACATATTTATAGTCCCGGCACTCAGGGAGGCAGAGGAAGGTGGATCTCTGTGAGATCATCAGCCTGGTTTACACAGTGAGTTCCAGGCTAGGTGGGGCTACAGGGAGACCCTGCCTCAAAAAAAAAAAAAAAAAAAAAAATTGGGATAGTGTGGGTACGTAGCAAAACTTAAAAACTTAGGAGCCATTCAGAATCTGCAGGCCCAGTAAGCAGAGGACTGGTGTCCACCCCTAGGCAGCTGGGAAAGGAAGCTGCTCTTCATTCTGGGCCTTCTGGTCACAGTGCCAAGCCTGCTTTCTGCTGTGACTTCAGCCACTCCTGACTGGGCTCTGAAACCTCTTTCAAAACCTTCCATTGCCCAAGAGGAATCTCAGTGGCCTCTCTGCCATGGAGCTTGGTATATCACCAGGGGGCGCTGCCCAGCCAGCTTCTGGCCACTAGGCCTGAGCTGCTAGGTTACGGTTTTGATGTGGTATTTCATATCCTGACTCTGCGGCCCCTGCTCACTTTAAAGAATATGGGAAATAAGGAAAAAAACAAAAAAAACTAAACATTTCTCTAAAATCAAACTGTGCCAAAAAAATTAAGCATAAAGAACCCTACTGACAGATCACAGAGAGGTATCATTGATGAGACCACATGTTGGTATCCACAGGCTCTGCTTTGCCTTGCTGAACTTTATGAACCTCAGGATTCCAGAAGGTTCTGACATATGCTGGAATATTGTTGTTAGTCCCTTGTTCCAGAAATGAGAGACTTGGAGGGAATGTGTTAGGCTTTATGTTAGTTTGGATCTAGGAGACAGATCTCATTATGCATGTGATTTCTAACCCCATGTCTCTGGGTCCTACAAGACATCCATGGACACCTCCCTTTATCATCCCATTGGGCTGGATTTCCTCTCTGAGGAATTCTAGCCCTGATTCTAGGTCTCCTTCTCTCATGTCTCTGCACCTTGTGAAGAGGCTAAAGTAGTCCACTTGGTCAAGGCTGATGGTTTCTTTCTCTCATAGCCAGTCACTGCCCAGGTTTCATTGAGTCTGGGGTAGAAACAGTAACACGGAAAGATGGTGGCTCCCTGGCTTCTAATTTCTCAATAAAAGAAACACTAAAAATGTTCTTTTATGGACACAGTCACTTTCTATATGCTATTGGTGTTTTGCTTTATTTCGGCTTTCGCTCAAAGGATGATTCTGGAGCCGAGAAGGAGAATACTTCTGTCCTGCAACAGAACCCTGCCTTGTCAGGCAGCCGGAACGGGGAGGAGAGCATCATCGATAACCCCTACCTGCGGCCTGTGAAGAAGCCCAAGATCCGCAGGAAGAAGTGAGTTGGAGGTTGGGGTGCAGAGAGCCTGCTCCAGCCAGCTTGTCTGCTCCTTGGCAGAAAGAGGCTCACCAATGGGTGAGCCTTGGGCAGCACTACTTAGGCAAGAGAAAGTATTCTCCCTCTGCCTCTCTCCTTCCTTGGCTCTCAGGTTCACCTGCTGCACCAGTGTGTCCTGCAGCCTAGGCGGCCCTCCCAGCCAGAGTTAGCCTCCTCTAGGAGAACAGGAGGGCCCCATGGCAGGCTCCATGGTTCTTCTTCTTTCTAGGTCTCTCTCCTGAGCTGAGAAGGAAGCCTGGCCTGTAAGGGATGTGGTCAACACCTTCCTGGGGAATGGAAGCACTAGAGGGAAGATGAGAGGGTGAAGTCCTTATGCCCTGCCAAGGCTGCAGGGCATAAGCAGCATAATTTTAGTAGCAAACCTTCTATAAAAGTACCTGTTTTGCCTAGATATTTGGGTTGAGGAAGAAAGCATGCTAACAGGATTAATTCATCCACTGGCCACTGTGTTGTGAACTGGGGCAGGGGGACTGCTGGTGACTTCATTGATTATCACAGGACTTGATTCCTTTGAAACCTGGAGGGCTGGGAAAGGTGGTAGGGAAGAAAAAGCTCTCTGCTGTTCCGCATCCTGCCAGGAAGACTCAGCTCTGTTTTTTAGGCTGTCTGGATCTCCTTGATTGACTGAAAAAACTCATGGCACAGATTTGTCAACCCAGAACCTCATTCTCATCTCTCCTCACCTGGCCTCTAAGCTCCCTTTGAGCTGATGGAAAGCGATTGTGTATTTCTCATCATGTTGGAAACAGGCCTGCACCACAGCTTTGATCTGGAGCTGCCAGGATCCAAGAGTGCAAGTATTAATGTAGTAGACAGTGACTGTCAGGCCAGTGCTGGTTCTCTGGCCATTATTTGATACAAGCTCCCCACAGCGGGGTCATCCCCAATATGTGTGACTTACCCCCTTCTGGAAAGCAGGCTTCCTTGATGAGCTGGACTGTAGTTAGTTATGCTGGGACTTGTTAGAGGAGCCTTGGATTCTAAGCACTAGCAAGAGGACTAAGTGGGTGGGAGTAGGGTTTGGAGGAGTGACCTGGGCTTTGTAGTCCAAAGGCTGAGGATCCCAGCTGGCCTGCTGGAAGGTTGGGTTTCCAGTCCCGGTGTTCTCCAAGAAGCAAGTCTGCATCTGTTCACCTGCCACCTCCTGGGAGGACAGACTTCATCCCTCTTCGACCCCATCAGCCATGACATGCACTTCCAAGGAACACACCGGGCAAGCCAATATCCTTTAACTAGTCTTAGAAGGATTAGAAAACCAAATCCAAGGAGAAAACTGGTAGGGACACCTGGAAGTTGACATAAGAGAAGTTGTTCCTTGGATTAGAATGCTGAGGCCTATATTTAATTTATTTCTAACCATACTTGACTACTATGTAGTGGCAGCAGCAGCTGCTCTTCCTCCTCCTCCTCCCCTTCTTCTTCTTCTTCCTGTCTCTTTCTCTCTCTCCCTCTATCTCTGTCTTCCTCTCTTTCTCTCTGTCTGCCTGTCTCCCCCTCCTGCCCCCTCCGTTTTTTTTTTTGGAACTGGATCTCACTGTAGCCCAAGCTGTCCCAGAACTCTATGTAGCCCAGCTGGCCTCAGACTCCCAGCGACCTCCTGCCATAGCCTCCCCAGTGCTGGGATTGTAGATGTGAGCCATCTCACCTGGCTTCTGCAGTCATCTGATCTGTTCTCTTGATGAACTTGAACTTGTTGGCTTGGCAAGGATACTGCATTCCTCAGGCCTCACCATTCTCTAGGGCACTCGGTCCTTTTGCCTGGAAGAAAAGAGCTGTTTGTCTAGAATCAAAGAGGGGACAATCATGAGAAAATGAGATTCCCCATCTCTGGACCAAACAGGAGTGTTTGCATAGTGACTAGAACTGTTCCAGTGAAAGCAGGAGAAGCCTTTGTGGACTCTGGGAGCTTGTGATGCAGTGGCCACTCATGGCCTGGTCAGTTGAAATACAGTCCCAGGGTCAGGCTCCAGGGTCCCAGCTTGCTGTTCCCACTGGTTCTGGGAGCAGACACCCCAGTCTGTCTGTCAGCTTGTCTGTACTTCCTCTACCATCATCAGTGTCCCAAACCAGCACCTGTCAAGTTTGCTGTGCTAAGGGGTGAGCTGGGGTGGGAGGAGGGCCTGCTGCCCTCAGAGCTCACTGCTGTGATTCCTGGAAGGGAGATAGATACTGGGAGAGGGACGACATGGACAGCCTGAAACATGGATGCTGTTTGTGTTGAAATTGCATAATTCCCAATGTATATTTATAAATTTCTATTTTTTATAAGTTTGGGGGCTTCTTTGAAGGAAAAATAAGCAGTTAAAGTGTGATTTATGAAAAATCCCTTAATAAAAGTCCATAATAAAAACTTTGTAAATAAACAGAACTGTATGCTTTGAATTTAATTTGTGCTAAAAAATTACACGATGCCAGGAGTGGTGGTGCATACCTTTAACCCCAGCAGAAGCAGGTGGGTTTCTGTGAGATTAAGGCCAGCCTGGTCTACACAATGAGTTCCAGGCCAGGTGGGACTAAAGGGAAAACCTGTCTTAACTCTCCCCCCACAAAAATTTACAAGAATGAGTTAAGGCTATTTACGAACAAGATTTCGGGTTGAAGAGATGACTCAATGATTAAGAGCACTTGTTGCTTTTCCAGAGGTCCCAAGTTTGGTTCCCAGTACACACATTGGGTACTTACAGCTGCCTTAAACTCCAGTTCCAGGGGGTTCCACGATGCCCTCCTCTGTCTTCCAAGTACATTAATTTATATGCATATACCCTCACACAGATATATACACATATGTAATTAGAAATAAAAGTAAAACCTTTAGGAAAAAACTCCCCCCCATAGTGGTTTGAATGAGAAGGACCCCCCATATGCTCCAGGTATTTGAACACTTGGCCTCAGTTGGTGGTGCCACTTGGGAGGTTTAGGAGTGTATCCCTGCCTGCTGGCAGAAGCGTGTCACTGGGGTGGGCTTCGAGAGCTCACAGTTTTGTCCCAGCTGCCTCCTGCCGCCAAGCCTCCTCTGCCGTGATGGACTCTTATCCTTTGGAACTGTAAGCCAAATAAACTCTTCCTTCTGTAAGTTGCCTTGGTCATGGTGTTTTATCACAGCAACAGAAGAGTAATACATTCACCTAACTTCAACATTTAACATTTTGCCACTTCCATTTCATCTATTTTTCCCACTTTTTTCCTTTATTCTTTCTTCTTGGAATTATTTTTTGTTGTTTTATATTGGTGCTAGGGATCAAACCCTGGGCTTAGTGTTTTGTGCATAGCTTGTGAACATGTGTACGCACATGCTCTGCCACTGAGCCACACCCTAGAGACCCATAGTAATTGAAAAAAATTCAGTCCTACATCATTTAACCTATAAATATGTCATCAGTATGCATCTGTGATGAATCTTTACATTTTAAATAATTACAGTAGCTAGGTGTGGTAGGGCAAGCATTTGAGAGATGGAGGCCGTAGGGTCAAGGGCTGAAGGCCTTCCTCCATTACATAGTGAGTTTGGGGCAGCCTAGGCTACATGAGACCCTGTCTTAAGGAAATATAGATTGAAAAGTGTGCATTGAGGTCCTCCACATGTTGCTCTTTCCATGTCTGGCCTACATGGTGTAGTATCAAAGCCAGAACATTGACATTGGTATTGTCCCCAGAGCACATTCAGGTCTCTCTCTCTCTCTCTCTCTCTCTCTCTCTCTCTCTCTCTCTCTTTCTCTGTGTGTGTGTGTCTGTCTGTCTGTCTGTGTGTGTGCAGTTTTTTTTTTCCACTCAGGTTTATGTAACAACCACAAGACAGAACAATACCATCACCACAATTCTCCATGCTGTCTCTTCATCACCACATTCATCTCTCCCTCATCATTAACTCCTAGCAACTGCTGTTCAGTTATTTCCCATCTTTGAAACTTTATTAATAGCACATCAGTGAAATCCTAAAGTCACTTTTGTTTTGTTTTTTCAGACAGGGTCTTCCTGTAGCCCCAGCTGGCTTGGAACTCACTGTCTAGTCCAGGCTGGCTCAGACTCCCAGAGATCATCAGCCTCTGCCTTGTGGGTGCTGGGATTAAAGATGTGCACCACCACAGCCAGCTGCATCTATCCATTCTTGACCTTACAGTAAGACTTGCATGGCTTCCCCGCGACCTCCCACCCCAAGTCCAAACTGCATGACCTGGCTGGTGAACTCCTCCTTCAGTTCCTTGCTCTTTTCAGCCACATATTTTCCTTTCATTTATTTAATAAATATGGATCTAGTGTCTTCTGTGTATGCCAGGCACTGTGCCAACTCTTAAGGCTGTGGTGAGCAAGACAGGCATGGTCCCTGCCTCCAGGGAATTCTTTCAGTGGGAAGAGACACAAGGTAAACAAAACCCAAGCCATTTCAGGTTGTGGAGGTGTGCTGGACAGCTTCAGTCGTCAACTTGACACACTTGCATAGACGGAACCTCAGTTGAGGGATTACCTCCGTTGAACTGGCCTGTGGCCATGTCTGTGGGGCATTTTCTTGATGGTTGAGTGATGTGGAAAGGCCCAGCCCACTGTGGGCAGTGCCACATGTGAGCAGGTGGTCCTGCATTATATCTGAAGGCAGGCTGAATACGGGTCAGGGGAGCAAGCTGGTAAGCAGCACTCCCCCATGGTCAGTACTTTGGTCCCAGTCCTGAGCTCCTGCTTTGGTTTCCCTCAGTGATGAATTGTAAGATGAAGGTGAAATAAACCATTTCCTCCCCAAGGTGGTTTTGGTCAGTGTTTTCATCACAGCAATAGAAAGTAAATAGGACAGGGGTTGAGGGTGCTGGACAGGGCGTAGACAAAGCCTTCCTGTTCTTCAAGAAGGGCCTTCTTGCCCTTCGAGAAGACCCTTCATACAGCTCCCAGGCTTGCAGTTCAGACCTGGTGTCTGCTTGTCCTTCCAGCCTCTCAGCCTGTGCCCCACTACATCCACCTTCCCTTCTCCAGTCACTCAGCAAACTGAGCTGCTGCTATGGGTGACCATGCAGATGTAATACAGGACAGAGTGAACCCAGGTCCCCACCTTCCCTGTGCTTGTCTGAGGACAGCCCACTCCCAACACACATGGAATGTCAGTCAGCTGGTGGCTTGCAGGCCCCCAAAGGAAAGCAATGGTTTTCATGGGCTGAATAATTTGGGGACAGAGAGGACAAGAGACCGGAGAACCACAAGGGATAGCGTGCAAAGTCTGGGCTAGTAGCAGCAAGGGGAACAGATGGTTGTCAGGGCCTGCAGAGTCCACATGAGAATCTCTAGGCAGGGCTGAGGCTTGGGTCCAGAAGCCCAGTCTGCTGCTGCAGCCCTGTGAGATGGGGCCAATCAAAGAAATGGATATTCTGCCCCACTTCTTCCATGATCTCTAAATAAGGGGACTGGGAATCTGTTGGTGCAGACCATCTGAGCTGCCACCCGCTAGGGCAGAGCTCAGGGCAATTCTGGAGAGGCAGATGTAAAGTACACTTGTCACAAAATAGGGGCAAGGATGGAGTGATGGCTCAGTGGTTCAGATCACTGGCGGTTCTGGCAGAAGACCTGGGTTTAAATCCCAACACCCACATGAGAGCTAACAGCTGTCTGCAACTCTAGTTCCAGGGGATCCAACACCCTTTTCTATGCTCCACAGGCTTTGCACAACACAGGTGCATGACATGGGTGCCCTTGCATACATGCAGGCAATATACACATAAAAATAATAATTATTTTTGAGACAGTGTCTCTCTGTAGCCCCAGCTGTCCTGGAACTCACTATGTAGTCCAGGGTGGTCTTGAACTCACAGAGGTTCGCCTGCCTCTGCCTCCCAAGTGCTGGGATTAAAGGTGTGTGCCACCAAAATATGGGCAGTGTGGGGTTAGAGAAATGACTCAGCAGTTAAGAGCACTGACTACTCTTGTAGAGGACCTGGGTTTCGTTCCCAGCACCCACATGAAGGCAAATAAGCATTCATAACTCCAGTTACACCGTCTTCTGGCCTCCATGGGTATTGCATGCACATGGTGCACTTACATGCAGGCAAAACACATAAAAATAAATAAATCTTTTTAAACCCACAAAAAATAGGGGCAGCAAAAGTTACTATAGGAGTTAGGGTTTAAAAAGTGATGGGAGACTGGGCGTGGTGGTGCACACCCTTAATCCCAGAGCACAGGAGGCAGACTTGGGTGGATCTCTGGGAGACTGAGGTCAGCCAGATCTGCATAGTGAGTTCTAGGCCAGATGGGCTACAGGGAGATCTTGTCTCAAAACAAAACAAAAAAAAACACAAACAAAAAACACAAACAGCAACAATAACAAAAAGCGGTGGGGAAAAAAGGCTCTAGTTGAGTAGAGCCCCGAATGCAGCCATCTTTGTGGAAAATGATTTCTGGGGACGGGAGCAAGAGCAGTGGTCAGAGGTAGGAATGTACTTACACCTGCACAGTAAGAAGAAGATGGTGGAAGGGGTGGAGGAAGGCCTCCTCAGACAATACCTCACAGCTTGGCGAGGGCTAGGATGCTATTCATGGGGAGATGGGTAGACAGCGGGGAGAGGAGTGCAGTTGGGAGCATTCTAGCTGGAAATGGTATGGGAGACACTGTTCCAGTCAGTTCCATGCAGAATTTAGTATTTGCCAAGTATGATTCAACAAAGTGTCGGCTAGCCACCCCAAAACTAACAGTCCTGGCCCCAGAGAGCCGGAATATACCTGTACCTAGGGAGAGGGAGGAAACACAAGCCTGCAAATACCTACCTGGGTGACACCCTCTCCTCCAGGGAGGCAGCTGTGTTGTCAAGGAGACAGATAAACACACGGGAACCTGTTCTAACTCCTCTGACCGAGACAGAGGAGAGGGTGTGAGCAGAGGGGGGCCTGTGGCCTGAGGCCTGCACTGAAACCCCAGTGGGGTGGAGTGGCCTTCGAGGCTTTGGAACAGGTGAGTCAGCAGGGGGAGGGGGAGGGCATGTAAGGTGTGGCATGATGGAACCAGCCTGAGAAGCCTCAGCCTCAGTCCTGCCCAGCCCTGAGGTTCCTGTGTCCCTCTCCTAACATCTCTGTGGAGGCCAGTGTGATGTCAGCTGTAACCAGCCTTCGCCCTTTAAGGCTAGACTGTACTGAGCTAGGCAAGAGAGCTGGACATTTCTGCCAGCCCTAAACCATCAGTGGTGCCCCCAGGAAAGGGGTCACTGGAGCATTATGGTGGGCCTTCCCCCACCTTTTGTGGGTGTTCTGTGGATGTAATCTGGCTTCCCACCACACTCCTTTATCATGTGGGGTCACCATGGTCTTTTATGGCGCTGGGGATGGAACCCAAGGCCTTGTGCATGCTGGACACTTGCTCTACCACTGAGTGATATCCCTAGCCCACTTGTCC